ACAGTAATGTGATCAATACTGCGTTACGGTTTCGAAGGGTAAGGGTGCTGGTGATATTATGACTTAACAACTTATGTCTCCGGGTGTCGGGTGCAGTGGTAGAGCCCTCAGATCTTTGTGATTTAATGCTCTGAGTATGCAACTGTTAGGAACAGGCGTGTCGCTTTCCACTGGTCACACGACTTGATCGTCCCGTCACTTAGTATTATTAAAAAAAACTTTAAAATGTAATAACGTAGTTTATCGGTTATTTAATAATTTACCTTTCTTTTTGATCTTTGTATTAATAATTATAACAAACTAGTGAAGTAATTTCACATAAAAATAATTGAATATCAATTCAATAAAAATTTAAATACAATGAATTGCGACATCTCTAGCCAGGGCTGGTAGCTGTAAAGGTATCTAACTGGATGACGAAATATCATAGATTTCTCATAGATGGCGCTCCGGCTAAAAATCGTTAAAAAACCAAATACAAAGATTCGTCGCAAGCACATAGAAAAATTATTGAGGTCCGCCGGTTCGTTCAGTGGCTTAGTTGGTATAGCGTCTGCCACGGAATGCTAGAAGACGTCGATTCGAATCCGGCCGGATTGACGGAATTTTTTCTGAGTGTTCGATTTTTGTATTAATAATTATAACAAACTAGTGGAGTAATTTTACATAAAAATAATTGAATTCAATAAAAATTTAATTTACTTTTATTTCATTAAGGGTACGTACTCTTCTAAAGAAGCGTATCGCAAGAAGGTAAAGTTGCTACGCTCTGTATGTACACTCAGTCCACTGTTCTATTCATCATAGAAATACAAATTGCCGTTTCCAAACCGCGGCGGCGACATTAACCGACTAACGGCTCGACGGCGACGCGGTAAAAAATGTCTTCGTAAGTAGGTAGTTAAGAATCCGCTGTACCATTTATTTACAAGAGTGAATCCATCTTAGAAAAACTAGCGTTCAAAATTATTAATGGTTTGTTTGAATGGTGCGTCACACGGCTCATTGTTGGCGCGCACTCTGTCCGGATGCGCTCGGTGACACTAATTATTCCTATAGTGTTTGAATGATAGATTGCTCTGGACAAATCACTTCTAGCCTCACTCCCTAACAGCAATAAAAAAGCCGTGTGATTAGTTTTTTCAGACAGCCCACCGATTGTCACAGACAGAACGTGGGCTGTGTTGTACCGTTTGACTAAAAAGGCAATATGTTACCGGCAAAGACGGAGATTTTATCATCATCGTATACTTCTGTCAGATTAGTACGCTTAATCCTACCAAAAAAATTAATATTTCCAATTTTAAATGTTTGACTCGCTTCTGTAATATCTTGCGTGATTTTTTAACGTGAAAGAGCGTCGTATACAACTATAAGTTTGGTAAACTACCTTCTAACAATTTCAACGTATAACCATGGTAACAGATGGGATTTTAATTAAAGATGTCAGTTGCTTGGCTGTTTTAGTTAAACTGCTATATTAATTTGCAATTATGATATCCGCAACTTAGCATACTTCTTAAAAAATTGTCTAGTTAACATAAGATACATTAAGTAATACTAAGTATTTTAGTATTCTCAGAAAACACTTCTTCCACACATATTCCCAACACACTCACACGTAATTGACCAACACTATACATACTGTCAAAGACAAAATGTAGGCTAATAGCATCGTGTCTTTGATACAATACAAACATGGTATTTCAAAAAAAAACACAAGTTACACTAAATTATCATCGTATCAATTATACCTCTCTAGTTTAGAAATCGATATGCTCTACGTATACATACAAAATTATAAAAAAACGGGTTGTATAAAATTTGACCTATCAACCTCAAACAAAGTAACGAAGATAACATAACAAATCGCTTTGGTAACTACGATACTAACTGAAATGATTGCGTCGACCAAGACGGAGGCCGTACACCGACCAATGAAATATTATCTCCTGTGTGACTTACGAGTACTGCCCTCTTGACTAAGCATAATGACATTTTAGTATTACAACATTTTATCTACACAAGACGAAAAGTTCCGAGATAAGTTAAACGCCAACTGGTATATTGTTTCAGAAAGTAGACAGCCGATGTAATTTGTTAACGTCAAGCGGCGTTTGCTGCGGCCGGCGACACAACGGCGGCGTATCTGCGCCCGTAGTCCACCGATCTGACGTAATCTAAAAATACCCGCGCTGTTTGCCCCAACTCCTTACCTATCTGGCACTGATTTAAATAATGAGATTAATCATTTCTGTGCACATAAAAATCATTATCTTGCATCGTTCTATTTGTTATATTATCTAAAATCGCTACCGACTAAAGTAGCGATAACTCACGTGCATGAGTGTCATTAAAATCTATGATGGAGAAGCACACCATTAAATTTAGGTACGTGAAATTTTTAAAGAACCACATTAATAATTCGTGTTTTCTTGATAGACGTCTGACAAAAACCGTTGGACCGCCTACTCAACTTACTCTATCAGTTTTATATACTTATGTATTCTCTTAATGTACTTACCTAGTAGCTTTAATGCTTACTTCGTTAATATCACATCAAATACATCGGATTAACTGATTACCAGTTGCTTATATCTTAAATCATTTTATTAATCATTTATAAAAGAAAGTACTTGTCTGTTCATCAAGTGATATCTGCTTCTAAAAAACAAATAATTACTTTAACGTATGATTAATATCAACCTACTGAACACGGAAATGCTTCAACTCAAGGCCACGTATTATTATCATGACTAATTCGTGAAAAGATTATCCTGATCATCCTCCAAGCCCTAATTCCAGAGGGCTCGGTCCTGATAACAGAGTACCGCGTGTGCACTCGTTTTCAAATAAGTAAATTAACGTAGAATTGAATTAAGTTTCGTCCCTAGTTGAGATTATAGCGATTTAGTGAGATTATCTGAATGTGTTAAACGTCGGCGTTGGGTTGTAATGGAAGGGCGTGGGTCAGGAGCCCATTGTTTAATTATAGATAGTGCTTCAGAGTAAAAGCCGCAGAGCGTGATTATTTATTTCTTAATATTTATGGTTATGGTGCTTAGACGACAGTTACTGTTTTATGTAGCTTCTTTTAGATTCACAAAAAACTTAATGAAATTATTAATAATTCAACAGCGCCATTTAGTATTGTTTGATTATATTTGCCTATAGTTATACAGATTTATTTGTAAAATACTAATAACCTCACAGGACTGTATTCCTAATATTACAAATAAATTTGTTCCATGGGTTTTAATAATTCGTCAGATTTTAAATGAAAACATTTAAATAGATCGTTCTACACGGTGGCACCTCTATGCAAAAGTCGGGAGTCGTCGGAGAGGACCCTTTCACGTTTAAACTCACTACCTCACTACCAAACATAGATCCTAAAAGTGTCCGATAGCACAAAAAACTTAAAAGTTTATAAATAATAATAACGCACACACACTCATAGCCCCGCACTAGTGAAACCTTGTATCGCGGGTGCCATGGACACACATATAGACAACCACAAATTACACCCAAACTCACGAGAAAAATAAATGTAGACCATACAAATATTTCTCCCGGCACGGGAGTCGAACCCGGGGCTGTTGCGTGGCAGTCCGGCATGGTAACCGTTCGGCCACCGAGGCAGTTGTGATGTGTTGTTTACTTTTGGTAATTTTATCATGTTATGTTAAAAGTGACGAAATCAAAGTTGTTTTGTGATGTTAATAATCTAGTTCCGCAAGGTTGTTAGTATTTTAAAAATAACCCTGTATTTGAACGAGTGAGAAGTAATTAACGCGTGTTAACGTTGTTTATTTCCGAGTTACATATACTAATATTTTTTATAACCTAAAAAAAGAAAATAACAGGTATACAACGAATAAAAAGGAAGACGTAAAATATAAAACCGGAATTGAACTCATTGACTGTGTCACTGCTTTTTCAGAGTGGAAGGCAAAGCGTAAGTTTTTGGAGCGTTTTTTTCCCTTTTTACAGGGACCACGACTTGGCGTGTTCGAGCCTCGGTAGCTATCGTAAAGCCGCGTAGAGATCGACGCTGATAATTGAAAAAAACGTTACGACTGCTGAATCTTAACACCGATTTAAAACTGCGACGGATAAATTAAAAGAATCCTACCCCAGGCGATTGTTTTTCTCTCCGATTCTTTGCCTCCGATTTCGCAGATAAGCTTGTTCTGAGCGAACTTTATGTTCTGTCTGATTGTAGTTGTGTAGGTGGCGCTGTGTTTTAGGAGTTTCTTTTAATTAAGAACAAAATATAACGGAGCTAAGAAACTACAGGATAACTTGATTCATTTTTGCAGTACGTGTACCTATCTAAATATTGACAATAATATACGACAATGCAAAGAATCAGAATTATAGAGAATTTTTTTTAAAAACGTGTTACCTACTTGAGCTACTCTTAGAAAAAGCACGTGTCAACCTGTTTATATAAAACCGGAACACAGTAATGCTGACATTACTGTTTGGTGGCAGAAATAGGTAAGGTGGCAAAACTACTCTGGACGAACTCTTTCACAAGGAACTCTACGGCTACTAAAATTTACTAATTAACACGTTTAATAACCTGGCATAACCTTTCCTAACTGGATCATTACAGACATCTTCTAATTATCATATTTACTATTCACAACCCTAATCGTCCTTTAAAGGAAATTTTCGCAAGGATATTCCGCTGCATCAGAAAGCTTTTCAATTATAATTTAGCAACCCTGACTCCGAGTAGTCGAAAATTGAAATAAGCGTGTTATAAAAGCCGAGGGAGTGCGCTCGGAACAATAATTCACAAAAAGTATGAGCAGTTAATGTCCTCTAAGGCCTGAGCGCGACATAATCATCCGCGAAACTAAATTTAATGCTAATAGCACTTTTTAAAAATAAAAGCTCGGCAGGGTCGACCGCTTAGTGGCATTATTTAAAGAGATTTTAATTATGTTGAAAGCAGATGACACCAAGTTCCCTCCTCTTCATTGTCCGCAGCCTGCCGGCCGCTGTCTCTTTGCCGAACCACATTTAGTGTCATACTTGTCGTATATTCAAATGGTAAGTAAATTTTTATAAAACTTCTTTACCATTTTATCACGTCGCTCTGTAAAGAAACAAATAATGAGAAATTCACGTAAATACACTCATCAAAAGTATTTGTAGGGATCAAGCACATTTTCGCTGATGCCATTAAACCAATGAATTATTTATTTGGTCAATTTCATTTTCAAATTCAAATTTTAAAATTGACCAAAAAGAATTAATCCTGATTTCCAGTAACGGACAATTATTATTAGTATAATATTATAACAATATAAATATTATTATTATATTAAATAGACAGTTTTTAATTTGTATGTTAAGTGATTGCAATGTTAAAAGCGTATTTATTTTTAAAAATCTAATGCTTAACGGTGTACAAGATCATTTCAATTCGCGCAATATGTCTCCATCAATTCATAAACATCGGGTTTGTTATCAAATCTCGTTCAATGTAAGCATGATCCTATATAAAGTGGAGGTGGGGTGGCCCCAATAGACACACGTAACGCAACACCGCGTCCTCGCCAACCTAGGACCCCATGAGTGCGTGCCTCTAAATCCGACGAAGCCAATAAATCACACGAATGCAAACATTACGAGGGCTTTCTATGTATACTGTTACTCGAACTGCCCGGCGTTTGCTCCAAGCGAATGTTTGAACGCGGTTGCTACAAAAGCGGAGTGATTCACAAACACACGCGTACTGGGCCCCGCTTTGATGAACGCATCCCACTTCAAATGACATTAGCTCAATCGTAACATATAGAGCGTACGTATTTTATTATACTGAAACCGAAAAACAAAAACTTGACTAATTAGTTATAGTAATTAGAAATAAAGTAAATTAGAAACTTAAATTTAGAGTCTGCTTGTCCTATAAGATACAGAATAATTTTAAATTTATCTTGAATTTTAATAATACTTTTTGGGTAGTAGCACTAGAACTCCTTACTTATTTCTGCCGCCTAACAGCAATGTCAGCCTTACAGTATTTCGGTTTTGGAGGGTAAGGGTACTGGTGAAATTACAGGCACATGCGACTTGTCAACTTAAGTCTCAGGGTGATTACACAGTACCCCTCAGATATTTGTGATTTAAAGCTCTGAGTAGCACTGGTACTGTTATGGACAGACGTATAGCTTACCAACAGGCGCACGAATTGTTCGTCCCGTCACTCGATATTATAAAAAAGCGCCCAACCTGGCCCAATGGGGCCAGAGTGGCGGATTAAGGCCTTTATAAAACTAAATTATATTTTATAAAACTAAAATTTATAAAACCCTCGCCTGAGAGGAAACCCGTGCCCAGCAGTGAGACGTACAAATGGGTTGTTGATAATACTCTATAAAAAGCGCGTTTAAACAATGACAAATATGTATTGAAAATATAATATATACCTAACAGCAGGTATGCTTAACTTCAACAAAATGAGATTAGGTACTCTGCGTTTTTGAACAAACCACTAAAATGTTTGTTTTTCTTGTTTAATTAGGAGTGACCTCGGTGTGACTGATCTGATCCGCGCACGTTGATAAATCACACGTACACAAACAGAGTGAGGGTCTGCTTGTCCTGTAAACCCACACCGGAATAGAAACTAACACTCCTATTTATGTCAACAGAGCGTGATGGCTTTACTCAATGTTGAGCTACATAGTGACAAGATGAAAGCGGCGGTTCTGAGGGACGAAGGTAGAATTCCCAACGTAAATCACTAAGGTATTAAATAAACATGGTGGTTGGTTATATTTTACAGATTATTCTCATTGAATTTGATATAGAGAAAAATTGGCCATGGTTATGAAGCCTACCTCGCAAGAATTTACTTTTGCTATACACTCTCTCTATCTATCTAAAAAATGTAACAGGAGACAGTAATATTATTAGATCGCTTATTTTATCACATATAGCAATAAAATATTATTGTATTTTTTATGTAGGTACAATTAGTATCTACCGTTAAAACTTTCAACGGAAAACTTGATTATGCAGTGAACTGTTACTAGATAATTACACCAAAACAATATTTGTACAAAAACAAAAAGCACAAAAGTACTTTGACTTATTTTTGGAATTATGTTACTTAAGCTATTAGATATAAAATAGCTCAAATCTTAGCTTCGTTAGGCATTCTAGTCGAATTGCCCTTAGCAAAGATATTCTCTATAAAGCCGCATGAATGCGAATGCGCTGTATCTTTAGCACAAAGCTCAATAATACCCTTTGGCATTTTGTTAATAGCATGTTACATGGAATTTAACTCCGGGGATTATTTTATATTGTGAATTATTATCAGACCTATGTACACGGACAACCATAAAAAATCATTCCTGTATCACTAATAATATATAATATTATAATTCCAAATCCACCATAGATACAGATCAACTGTTAGTAGAGCGAAAAATTTATAAAACAGTTATTCTTTAAGAATCCTCAAAAAACTCATGGACAGCACTTGGTAGCAGTGGAGCTCCTTGTGAAGGATTTCGTTGCAAGGTAGTCCTGCCACCTTGCCTATTTCTGCCGCTAAACAGTAATATCAGCATCACCGTGTTTCGGTTTTGAAGGGTAAGGGTGCTGGTAAAATTACAGTCAACTTATGTGTCAGGGTGACGGGCGCAGTGGCAGTGCCCCTCAGATCTTTGCGATTCAAAGCTCTGAGTGGCACTGCAACTGTTATGGACAGGCGTGTAGCTTATCATCAGGCGCACGACTTGTTCGTCGCGTCACTAGATAATACAAAATGTACTATCTATAGCACACAAAAATATCACTACCTCTTGCCGTAGTACTTATAATGATTTAATATAAAATGTCCAATGTATGTAAATCATTGAATTTGGTCAGTACGTTATTGATACTTCTCCATGGAGAAGCAGTAGGCGGCAACTACACAGAAAACACTTGGAAATCGCATTGTGATACCAGTAGTTGATCTTTTAAGATCCATAACGAAAGGGGGTACCATTATAGGCGTATTGTCATATTGTAATATTAAATTTTACAGTGAACGCGGTTACTGCTCATGAACGCGTTAACGCCGAATTTTCATGCAACGTTTTAAATTTCATTTAACATTTCGGATTTGTTCCTTGTCGAAATTGTCATTATTCTAATAAATGCTGATTTTGTACCCGAGAAATCTCAAATTGCATCGGAAAGTAAAGGAAACTTTGTTGGTAGAAATGGGAAATTCGCCGTAACTCAGTTTCAATGCTGCAACTGGCGCTATCCCATTCTTTTTATAATAATTTTATTTGTCAGTACAGTCTCCCTAACTATAAATGAAGCTGCAGAAAACACGTTATTACATACACAAGCACTTACACAAGATACCTATAACTACGTAAATGCATTAGTATATTATCACGTGGAACACGTAATCTTCACCTTGTATTTCTTAACACATTTCTATATTTCATAGAACTAAAAATGGGAAATTACGAATTGTTCATAAACTAAAAATGCAAGCGGATACAAATAGTTAACCCATCAGTCTGGTGGATCCTGTCACTATTTTCTGCACGAATACTGTATTTAGCATATAACTAGAGAACGTGAGGTCCCAGAGTCCCTTAATTAAAAATGAGACCAAAAGAACAGCTGCATTCTCAATTGGAACGATAATCTTCCAGTTCCAGTGTAGTAGTAGAGCTCCTTGTGGAATAGTTCGTCCCCTGCCGCCTTATCTATTTTTGCCGCCAAGCTGCAATGTGAGTATTACTGTATTTCGGTTTTCAATAGTAAGGGTGCTGGCGAAATTACACGCACATTGGACTTTGTGGCGGGTGCAACCTACGGTTTTTGCGATTTAAAGGTCAGAGCGGCACTGCAACTGTTACGGACAGGCGTGACTCTTACCACCAGGCGCACTACTTGTTCGTCCCGTCATTTGGTGTAATAAAAAAGTTCCCTTTCACGCTACCTGAATTATTTATTAACTACAGGTGGTTTTTTTCTTCAAAATAATAGGATTACTATTCTGTGTTTGTATTATTAACGAGTTATTGTCAGTATTAACGTTTATTAATCCAGAAGAGGAGTAGTCACACAGAAGTAATAGGTTTTAGACTTTGTACTTATTATACCAATTTATGGATATATATGCATTATAAGTATAATTTGAAAGAAAAAAACGGCATTACGTACAGGTACACGTCTTTTTTATTTTTTTAAAGATGTGGTCGATGGGATTCTTTAATGAATCTCAATCAATCGGTATTCTTAAAAAAAATACATCTGTCCGAAGTAGCAGTAAAATTAAAGTATTTTGAATATTTTTATAATGCCGTTTAAGTAAATTGAAATTGGAGTTGTAAATTAAATTAATTCTATTAATAAAGATTGCAGAAAACTGAAACTTTAATATCTTAAGGGTTTTTGGAACTGTTTAGCTGTCTTATAACATTATTACTACGTTAAGAAATGAATGGAAACCCTTGAATTTCTAAGCAGTTTCTAAGACATTGAAAAGCCAAAACAAATAGAAACTGAATTAATAAACACTGATAAGATCTAAAAATCCATAATGCTCAGCATTTTCGCCAAAAAAAGTAACGACTTCATTCTCTTGAATCTTCGTCTTTCAATAAAACCCTACTTTAATGAAGCTCACAAGGTTTGTTCGTTTTATAAAAAGAGTATTTTTACGTTTTCATAGCACAGAGTGCAGAAGCTTAATCGTTGGTTGCTCATTATTGCCGCGACAATGGGAGGCGGTGCGCAGTTAGGCATTAGAAAGGCCGGCCCAGCTTTCGCTAATGACATCCCGGCGTGCCTTATGTCTGCTCTACCGACATAGAGCATTTTTACAGAATAACTCTTTGTTCGAAAAACGAAATTTAAATCATATTACTACAGATGATTTATGAATGTTGCTGTCTGCGCCTTTGACGACACATTAAGTGTGAATAGTGTTTCACGATGTATATTTACTTTCGAAATTACAATGAGTTTAAAATGCGTCTTAAGTTTTCATACAATTTTGACAATATAGCAAATTGTACGTCAGCATAGCGGTGCTTAAATAATTGTTTGCTCGTTTAGCAGTGAAACAGCTTTGAGGAAAGTAGGTAGTTAAAGAACTCTAGGCGTGGAGTTCTCGCTATGTGGCGCCATCTACCGCCGCAGCAGGGTTACACGAGCGCGGAGCGTTTTATCTTTTCCCGGTGAGACGTGTTAAATGCAGCGACAGACAAACCCAACTCGGGTCAATATTTACACAAAATCCCATAATTTCGACCGCCATGCACACAATAGATTTATAAGATAAACACAGAGTAAAATGTCTGTAAATAGTATTGACAACATTTTAATATATGGTCTCATGTTTACTTTGGGTTGGTTCGCCTCTCTGTCATGCCAACATGCGTTAACGCTGTAGCGTGAAATCATTGTTTTTTGTAGACGCTCAGCAGATTAAATATGAATAAAAGGACAAAGAGCTGGGGATGTATTGTATTTTTTCAGTGGAGTTGACTTAGTAAGCCTGTGGGATTGTAGCATTACGGCGCTACGCAATGCCGCCTTAAATTACTTCAGTTAATGTGTGTGGATTTTTTAAAATAGGTAAGTACCGTTTTTTATTGTACACCTTATATATTTTGCATAATGTTGTCCTTATGAATATAGATATAAAATGTGTAATTCAACATGAAAGAGTCCCATAAATTTGTCGCACAAAGAGTACAACGGCTTTTTAAAATCATTGGTGCTGATTGAAATCCTAAAGTAGAACGCTAAAACCTGTGTGGCTTTGATATTTTAGCTGTCAGTAAGAATCATAAAGGATACAGGCAGAAGAAATGACATTAATTCAAGAGGCTTATGCCGACTGGATATTGTTAAAGGGTACACCTGAGCAAACTCTGCAGTCTCTTGCCTTCAAAGAGCAGATTTTAACAGTTTGTGTTTACAGATTACGCTATTGACAAACAAAGTTCAAAGCAGGTAATTTTACTAAAGATATTAATGGTATTTTGTTTAGCGAAATCCCACCGGATGTACGAGCCGCCCAGCACTTTTAACTATAACATTTTCGGCATATCATATCGTCGATATAAAAAGTTCTTACCATTTAATAGATAAATTGTTAATTAAAACATATTGAGTTCTTGAATTGTCACGATTGTTGGAAATAATCATATTTTTTTGTAAGCAAATCGTTTCAGGATTTTATAGGTCCCTTTACAGCTGTGATCATGGGACCTATAAAGGACCCGAAACAAATGAGTAGCAGTGCCCCTAAGATCTTTGATTCTTCTATTAAAAGCTCTGAGTGGCACTGCAACTGTTGCGGATAGGCGTGTCGCCTACCACCAGGCACACGACTTGTTCGTCCCGCCACTTGATGAGTATATAAATATATATATATATATATGTCATATCTTCATACGGGCTACATGCATGCTTGTGAAAAAGAAGTGTGTACCTATATGATAGACGAAAGATTTGGCGACAACACATTTAATGTAAGAGGGATCTTTTAATATTTTGAAATATTTTGTGATGATTTTGTCACAATATTTTAATACTTTTTATTTAGTTTTCCTGTCCTCCTCCTTCCTTCCTCTTTTCCTTAAACGATCTGAATTGTATTTTACGGTTTAATGATATATCCTGATCTCAAAGCCAATTACATTAGTAAGTGCCTACTTATTCCCCTATACATACTTCCATACTTCATATTAATATTACAAACGCGAAAGTAACTCTGT